GGTGAAGGCGATGACAATTAAAACAAAATGACGTATTTTTTTACTGTATTGTTATAATTTATAGCATCTCCTCATTTTCGCCAAATTGGATGCGACGCAACAATATTGTAAAATCCAGATCACTTCTCATCATATCTGTACACTTTGTTGATCCTTTTGGGTTTTTGATAAGCCACGTTTCACGGCGATTATCACGAATCGGTACGTTTGGAAGAGTGCATGAGTATAACGTCTCATTCAGTTTTGCTTCAAATTCGACTAGATCTGCTTTAAAAGAAGGACCGTATTCTTTTATTTTGTTCCATAAGGTTTGATTAAAATGATCGTACAGCAATGCATCTGCCCAGCTCCACTTGCGGATCGAAGCTCTCAATTCTGGTTCGATTTCAAAACGAATTTTGGAGCTCCGTGTTCCTTTCGACAAATATAATATATCATCCATACCCCAACACATTAGCTTTTTCAGCAATAGTAAAGATTCGTTGAAGTGTTCTTGAATAAGAACAAGATTAAATTCTTTAGTGAGTTTTTCAATGAATTTGGAAACAATTGATACATTTTCTTGTTCTAATTCCGACAAGCCTAAATCGAATAAATTAGGATTCTTCAAGTAGTTTCTAAACGGTACACGTTTATATTTGTCCCAATAGTAGAATGGATTCGAGACAAAGGTTCTGAAAGGATTCTCCTCTTCTTGTAAATTCAAATAACGCGTAAGTGAGAAATAACCAAAATTGGACTCGATTTGCGTTCTTGGATCTCTTAGTATTGTGATATACTTAGCACCTGGTTTCATCACCTTTTCCATTTCGGTTCTGTTGTATCTAGCATGGTTGACTAGCATATCGTATTTTTGAGGGTGGACTTGATCAGTCTTGAAGAAATCCCGGCTTAAAATTTGGGCGCCGGTTTTTGGAACTGCAAATGTGAGATTTCTTTGGTACCCGTACACTTGCAGAATTGAGGTGACAGTTGAGCTTCCGGTTTTGTGTGTTTTAAGGAACAAGACTCGGTGTAGTGGTGCGCAGAATTCATTCTTGTGACTTATTGTACTACGCGCCGATTCTAAAGATTCTGATTTTATATCTTTTTGGCGCATTTCAGTTCCATTGGACATCATAGGTCGATCAACATATTTAGGCTTACTAGGATTATTTCCTTCATGTTCGTCCCTGGAAATACAAAAATGTGAATTCAATTACCTGGCGGAAGTTTGTCGTTATTTTAATGACTTAATGTATTGTGTGAAAAAGCAATAATTGAAAATACACTTCAAAATTTACAATAAAAATAATACATGTGTGAATTTGTAAAGGTAAATTGGGAGCATTGAGCTGGCAGTTATGGTGTACCCAACTTTCTTTTTATTTTATTTTATTTTTATTATTATTTTTTTTTTGCGTTTTTCTCTGACTACACCACGGTGTGTGTAGGGGTGGGGGCTGGCAGAGGCAGAAGGGGACTCGCCATTCCGCAGAAAGTAGTTTCTTTACCTTTCCAGCATACCGAGTACACATTTTCCCTCAGTGTTAGAGAGAGATGCAAACGTGGATAAAGTGCCTTGCCTAAGGACAAGCGAAATGCCAGTTCCTCATAAACGCTGCTAAGGATAATATATGAGACAGATGCCTACAGCAGGCATAAGACATACTATTTTAAACTCATGTAGATCTTACTTAATTTAATACAAGCTCGTACGGTGTATTACATTAATCACTGCAGCAGCCTAACTACAGCAGCTGTTAATCTCCATATTTTTTTTTAATAATGCATTAGAACAGCAGGTTTTCTCAAGCGCATGTCAGACTATGTAATAAAACGTATAGGCATACCGTAAAATTTAATAGCGAATAAATTAGCATTATAATATTTTTATATATCAACATAAATAATAGGCCTATATAGGCCTATGCATAATTCTATTATCATAATTTATTATTTTATTACCAATTAGTGTGTTTCTTCTGGGACATACCACCCCACCCTGTCAAAAATATGCCCTACTTCACTGTTGGACAAATCAGAATGACCTCAAAATTTGTGGGGCTAAGATGGGTAGGTACGCCTACTTTCCCCACCCGGTATATCTGTCATCAGATTAGAGGATTGACATTCCCCCACCACCAACACTTACATCTCGATTTTGCAACTTAATACACTTTGAGAAGCATTTTTATGTTGCCTCAAATTGTGACAAGCATTTTTGCGTTGACTCAAACCATCTGAAGTTAAATCACTCCACCCATAGCCCACCGGCCTAACGAAAAATTCTGGATCCTCTTCTCTCAATACTTTATTATTATTGTTATTATTATTATTATTATTATTATTATTAGTATTATATTATTATTATTATTATTATTATTATTATTATTATTATTATTATTATCATTGTTATTGTTGTTATTATTATTATTATCATTATTATTATTATTATTATTATTAATATTATTATTATTATTATTATAAAAGGAATAAATCGTTTATAGTAGAAATTGTGCACTTTTGAGTTTGTAAAAATGTTGGGCTAATAGGTTTAAATGCTTCCAATTTTTAACAACGTACAGCACATTGCTTTCATAATAAATTTAGCCTTTGATAACCGTTGCACCCATAAAATCGATAGAGTGTAATGAGATTGTCACGAAATGTACAGACAAGTGCGTTCTTAATCGGTTTTGGTCTGGAAATACGCACCGCACTTGGAACAAAATACAAGAGAACAAACAAAACTCATGACAGTCATTCGTAATTGTTGTTGTTCTTTCCACTCGTTTTGAAAAGTTGGGGGTTTAACTATAGAAAACTGGTGAAAAGTATTATTATTATTATTATTATTATTATTATTATTATTATTATTATTATTATTATTATTTATAGTTAATATTAATATAGGCTACTAGAAATAACATGTAACACCATCGATTATTGCCATATATAAAAAGTAAAGCAACACATGGCAGGAAATTGATCCTGTGTCAGTATTTACATAATTATTGGATAATTGAATTACTTTTATGTACACGTCGCTGTATAGAATTTCAATCACAAAATGGCTTGTGTTCGCTTTATAGTACTGATAATGATAATGGTGGTACTGATAATGATAATAATGATGATGATAATAATGATAATGATAAGGTTTATAAAGCGTAGTAGACTACTAGAGGTAATAAACTAGTAGTAGTAGTGGTGGTGGTGGTGGTAGTAGTAGTAGCAGCAGCAGCAGCAGCAGCAGCAGCAGTAGTAGTAGTAGTAGTAGTAGTGGTAGTAGTAGTAGTAGTATTAGTAGTAGTAGTAGTAGTAGTAGCAGTAGCAGTTTAGTAGAAGCAGTCTATAGCAGCAGCAATAGTAGCAGCACTAGAAGTAGTAGTATATATATAGTAGTAGTAGTAGTAATAATGTATTTTTTGAATATATTATGGACGATTTGAGGAATAATATACCTTCATGAATTAACAACCTACCTTATTTCGTTTATCCATAAGTTGTTTGGATTATAAACAGGAAGACTGAGAGAAACTTTCATTGTTGGCATTGCATACAAAAATATTGCCAGTAAAAATATAACGACGGTGAGTTTACTCTTTTTCCACTTCATCCTAAATCAAGAAGTAATAAACCTATAGTTTAGTGAAACAAAAAATATTGAAATAGTGATATGGTGTTACGCGTAAGGCCATAACCTTAATGACAGAAGACCTTAAAGCCAGGCTCTGGAAGAAAATTTGTATAACTAAAGACACAAAAATGATGTTTGACTAAAAACTCGTTAATGCATTATGAGGTACAGATTTTTGAGTACCGGTACCGTATTTGAAAACTGGGGAAGAGAAGTAACCACCCATTTTCACCCTAGTACCTATTATAAAAACTTCCAGAACAATTACTGGGGTTACCTGAACCGACTAAAAATGGGCATTTTACAGGCGAATTTGAAAGGAACCGAGCCGGCCTGCACCATTTCCCCACAAGGCCTTCCCCACACTAACAATATGTAATATGCCTAAGTATGGTAATGATGACATCACATCGTGACCATAATTATGTAGTCACATCATGGATAGATGGGTATACAGTTTTTTCAAAGAAAATTTAATAATTTGGACTTTACAGTAAATCAAATAACGTAATGCTGTTCTAGTACTAGGTATAGTATAGAAGTTTTGTTGTTGTTGTTCTTCTTTGTCTCGCACATGCTTTGTTCCCTATAATTAAGCCCTGTCCCCTATAATAAAGCCCTGTCCCCTATAATAAAGCCCTGTCCCCTATAATAAAGCCCTGTACCTATAATAAAGCCCTGTCCAGACTATCGGAATTTTATTTGACAAAAACATGTGCCATGCCTAAATATGGTCATGATGACATGACGTCATGTAGACCTATATATTTATTTATTTCACAACTAATTTATCTTTATTCATATTTATAAGAGGTCTCTGAGATCTAGTTCAGAGTCCCTACTTGCTCATTCTATTCGTCCGTCAACAAAGCATTATGGCAATGGTTTTTTTTTTTTTTTCTTGGGCTTCTGTTTTTTCCCCTTTGCCTATTACAATCCGACTATACAGGCAACTTCCATTGTTGATTTTAAGGCAGCTTTCAAAAACTCATATTTTAACGTGTACTCTTCTTAAAATTTTTCTCCTGGTATTTTTTCATTTTTATTGTTAATGCGCTATAGGCCTATAAGCCAAAATTATTATTATATTATTATTATTATTATTATTATTATTATTATTATTATTATTATTATTAGCAATTCTCCCTATAATAAAGCCCTGTTCCCTATAATAAAGCCCTGTCCCCTATAATAAAGCCCTGTTCCCTATAATAAAGCCCTGTCCCCTATAATAAAGCCCTGTTCCCTATAATAAAGCCCTGTCCCCTATAATAAAGCCCTGTTCCCTATAATAAAGCCCTGTCCCCTATAATAAAGCCCTGTTCCCTATAATAAAGCCCTGTCCCCTATAATAAAGCCCTGTTCCCTATAATAAAGCCCTGTCCCCTATAATAAAGCCCTGTTCCCTATAATAAAGCCCTGTCCCCTATAATAAAGCCCTGTTCCCTATAATAAAGCCCTGTCCCCTATAATAAAGCCCTGTTCCCTATAATAAAGCCCTGTCCCCTATAATAAAGCCCTGTTCCCTATAATAAAGCCCTGTCCCCTATAATAAAGCCCTGTTCCCTATAATAAAGCCCTGTCCCCTATAATAAAGCCCTGTTCCCTATAATAAAGCCCTGTCCCCTATAATAAAGCCCTGTTCCCTATAATAAAGCCCTGTCCCCTATAATAAAGCCCTGTTCCCTATAATAAAGCCCTGTCCCCTATAATAAAGCCCTGTTCCCTATAATAAAGCCCTGTCCCCTATAATAAAGCCCTGTTCCCTATAATAAAGCCCTGTCCCCTATAATAAAGCCCTGTTCCCTATAATAAAGCCCTGTCCCCTATAATAAAGCCCTGTTCCCTATAATAAAGCCCTGTCCCCTATAATAAAGCCCTGTTCCCTATAATAAAGCCCTGTCCCCTATAATAAAGCCCTGTTCCCTATAATAAAGCCCTGTCCCCTATAATAAAGCCCTGTTCCCTATAATAAAGCCCTGTCCCCTATAATAAAGCCCTGTCCCCTATAATAAAGCCCTGTCCCCTATAATAAAGCCCTGTTCCCTATAATAAAGCCCTGTTCCCTATAATAAAGCCCTGTCCAGACTATCGGAATTTTATTTGACAAAAACATGTGCCATGCCTAAATATGGTCATGATGACATCACGTCATGTAGACCTATATATTTATTTATTTCACAACTAATTTATCTTTATTCATATTTATAAGAGATCTCTGAGATCTAGTTCAGAGTCTCTACTTGCTCATTCTATTCGTCCGTCATTCTATTCGTCCGTCAACAAAGCATTATGACAATGTTGTTTTTTTTTTTTCTTGGGCTTCTGTTTTTTTCCCCTTTGCCTCTTACAATCCGACTATACAGGCAACTTCCATTGTTGATTTTAAGGCAGCTTTCAAAAACTCATATTTTAACGTGTACTCTTCTTAAAATTTTTCCCCTGGTATTTTTTCATTTTTATTGTTAATGCGCTATAGGCCTAAGCCAAAATTATTATTATTATTATTATTATTATTATTATTATTATTATTATTATTATTATTATTATTATTATTATTATTATTATTATACTACCGTATTTTTTTTTCTTTGTCTAAGAAATCGATAATCTAGACAGAGCTTAATACGTGTGTATTGATTGATAAAACCCCACTATCTTTTATGGTCATTGATAACAACTATTACCATATGGCCAGTACCAGTCCCATTCATTACTGTATAATAATAAATTATTGGGAAAACATTGGTTTGATAGTGCGATATTAGAGACCTTTCAATTGCTACAGTTTTTTGTGTCAAAATTAATCAGTCGTATATGGTCCTTCAAATTGAATGATATTTTCAACTTTCTATGGGGTGAACGAATAATTAAAATGATGTTGATGCGACCCTTTGTAAAAATGCAGCATTGTGCCAACGTTCCTCTCACGAGGCCCACCTGTTGGTTCAATCTTCCAAGGATAATAATTAGCTAGACCCTCAACGAGACCCCGGTGAAGGGCGATATAGCCCTAGTAACGATTAGAAGTCTATACCCCTGGTACACAGCATAATAGTTTCCTGTTATGTTGAAAATGGTGCATAGCTATTCCATTTAATAATGTTTTTTTCGTAGAATGATACCATGAATTGCAGTTTTGTGCTGTAATTTATTTCTTTTCATCCCGTTCCCGTGGAATGGGTTTGTATGAAAATACGTATATAGGAGGATAATGTTATGGTTAACAACATACAAAAAGTTCTCTATGATCATATCCCTCGATTTTTTTGAAAATATCGAATTGGTACTTATTTGTTCATTTACTGCGCCAGTGGTTTGTAATCATCATAGTAAACTTTCTGCTTCCCTATGTCGGTAATTCCTGGGCTGGCTAAAGTGTGGTTTGAAACTGTGCAGGCCTCAAAACAATACAGTATAAGTTTGTTCTATCTAGAGTCTAGGTATGATAGACAGCCATAATATTTGAGCGGGAAACGTGTACAAAAAAACAAACATCTGTTACCTCATGAGCAAACAGGCAATTATGGTCGTATTATACAGCACTACTCTATAATTATCTCAACAAGCGAGCGAGTGTTGACGTGTTGATGTTCCAACCGGTGTTCCAACATGACGTCATAACTAAAGTTTAAGGAAAGTTTTTGCTACGTGTGCGCGTAGAAAATGAGTTGAATTTTTAAATAATAATAATAATAATAATAATGGCAATTATGATGATGTATCATCATTATCGCTATTATTATAATCATAATGTGGTGACATGTGATGATACTGATAATGATAATGATGATGGAGGGTTAATGAGAATATAATGATTATATGATGATGATGATGATGATAACGACGATGATGACGGTGTGATAAAGATGACGATGAGGATGAGGGTGGATTAATAATAATAATAATAATAATAATAATAATAATAATATGTCGTTCTTATATAGCGCTTCGTGCACAAAGCCTCTAAGCGCTTCACATCAACATCATCATCATCATGATAATGACAATGTACTAATGAGGATATGAAGATTTTTGCTTTGCACGTAGAAAATGAGTTATGTAATGTACCGTATGTAATTAGATTTATATAGCGCATAACACCGGGGTCTCTATGCGCTGATACAACAGAGAGCATTTCGTTATTATTTTTATTATTATTATAATGAGGATGATGAATGACAACGATGGCGATGATGATGATGCATCGGATGATGATGTGGTGATGATAGTGATGATGTTGATGATAATGGTAGAACCAATGATGATATGATGATTATAATAATGATGATGATGTTGGTAGACCTAATGATGATGATGGTAATGGTGATGTGATACCTAGATGATGATGTTTGATGACGACGATGTTAATGATGATGATGATGATGATGATGATGATAATAATAATAATAATAATAATAATAACAATGATGATAATGATAATAGTAATAGTAATAGTAATGATGATCATGATGCTGATCATGATGATCATGATCATGATAATCATGATGATGATGATCATGGTCATGATGACGATCATGATCATGGTGATCCTGATCATGATCATGATCACATCATGATCATGATCATCATCATGACCATGATCATGATCATGATCATCATGATCATGGATCATAATCATGAATCATGATCATGGATCATCATGGATGATCATAGCCGTCGGAAACATTTTGCAAGTGGTCCGGCCATTAGAGTCAGAGCGGGGGTGGGGGGAACTAATCAAATTTTGTTGTAAAAGTTAGTAGGGTGCTAAGCATCCATTATCCTCATGATGGTTGTTGAACAACTTTTTTGCAACTCTGAATGCCCGGAAATAAATGCTGACAATTTGTAGAGCCGCTAGCCCCTCCCCTCAAAGCCTAATAAAATTAGCACGGAGATAGAGTCTTTGTTGGAAATATGGTACCTCTGGATGCCTGGAAATACAAGCTGGAAAACCGGTATAGCCACCACCCCTCCCCATCCTGTCTATTGACAGACAAAAAGTTAGTGGGGACAGAGCCCATATTTTTTGGGCCAAGGTGAGCAAATTTTGAAACTTATGGCACCTAAATATAAATAAGTTATTGTTATGAAAATATGTAGTACAATATATACTGTACATCGTACATTTACTAAATTTATCTATATTGAAATATTTGCTCCCAGCGTGCACTATAATCCATATTCTAAGTTTCGTGGTATGAATATATCCCCATAGCAGACTTAAGGGTGTGTGAATAATGTTCATGAGGTACTCTCCCATATATAATACTAATAGGAAGATTTTTTAAAGGGCATCATATTCTTACTGGTATGACTCAAGAAAAAATAGAGATAATAATAAAGGCCTATGCCCTGTACATGACGCTAAAGAGTGGGCACAGAAAAAAAGCATCCAGGTTAAAAATGTTATATCTGGACACAGAATGTGGTAGCATTGACCAAATTACAATTCGTAAGATTATCTTAAATCATGGAAATAGACAAATGTATAACTACTGCGAAAATGATATATTGTTCAAAATGTTGCTTATTCCTCCATGAAATAAATAAAGTGCAGGAAACACGAATATGTACAAGGAATAACGATGATAACTGTAATTATATCTACACGACGTGCATGCAGTATTGAGAAATATTAACAATAGGCCTATTATGCAATTAATTAAATAAACCTAGAACATGTTCTATGAATATACACATGATACAGTTGCTATGAATTATCTATGGAAATACAGTAGGCCTCCTGTGCCTATACACAAATAACGTCGCGTTTCGACAAACTTACTGCTCGTACAATTTAATTTACACTTACCAAATTCAGTCTGAAGCATAATCAATTATTTATCACGCTCCAGGTCAGATATACTATCACTTGAATTGTTAAAATGCTGTAATTAAATCCTGTGTTTTCTTCTGGTAGACCTTACAGGATTAAACTCAGACAGACCATGTAGATACCTCCATGTACAGATCTAACAGGGGATATAGACATGACAGAGCACTAACATTCAAGGGCTATATCCAGCTTTTTTGTAAAAGAGTGGGGAGGGGCACAATGTTGTTAAATGTGGCTAGTTTTACAGGGGTTCAGTGGTCATACCGTGGAAACTTTGTTTACCTGGATGCCCAGAAAAAATATGAAATAATTTGACGATGATGATGATGAGGATGATGATGATGAAGATGAAACTTTGTTCAAAGTGAGTTCAATTTGGAATCAATGGAAAATAAAGGCCCCGGTAAGGGTGCAGGGAAAAAGCCCCGAGAAAAATCAGTAGTTTCTATTTGGTATAGACTAATTTGGGTTGCTACATACATTTAGTCTTATAAAATAGTAATACTTCCAGAGAGCAAAGCCATATCTTGTCATTGAGCACGGGGACTAAAAAGCTGGGCAAACATTTGATGGTTCTGGTTGTAGCGTATAGGCATGTTTGGTATTATTTAATTTTATTTATCGTTGCTTTGCATTGCATTGGAATTACTGTATTGATTTTGTCGGGTCGCCAACACGTTACATATCTAAACAACTCCCACCACCACTCGTTTGACACCATGACGAGGTCATCGGACTAAATTAATATTCAAATCCAATCAAAGACGTTGTTATGATTGCTGTTCCTTAATATTGTAGTCTAAAACTATAATTTTTGGATGCCCCAAAATAGCAGCTGGCAATTATAGAGCCAAATACCACTCCCCAGCAAGGGACAGAAACAGCATTCATGATGTGAACAAATTATGAAATTATGGCATCTGTGATACCCAAAAATAGCATCTGGAAACCAAAAATAGCAAGTAATCAGGGCTGGCTTTATCCGCATAAGCCTTGTGTGGTGACTAACCCCAACATTTCATACATAGTTAATTGTAATTATATGTTTATATCTCTAAACATTGTCAAAATTACACATTTTTTTTAGGGTGTAGACTTTTCTGTTATTTGCCATTCTCTTTTATTTGATATTTTTAATTGTAATATTTCTACCTTTAATGTAATAGGCCTATGTAAATATTTAATATGTGAAACTGAATTTTTATGTAATTTTATGTACCGTATTTTTAATCTTTAGACATTTATTTTTTATATCATTTTGTATTTGTATTTTTTTTTTTTTGGTGTTTTGACACACTGTTGGGTCTTTGATAAAAAAAAATAAAAAAAAATAAAATATGTAATAATATTGAGAAAAAGTGGTCCGGCTAAAGCCGGTGCGGTTCCGACGGCCCTGATGATGATGGTTGATGATGGATGATGATGGAAGGATGATGATGGGGGGATGATGGTGGATGGATGATGATGATGGATGAGGGATGATGATGATGATGATAATAAAATTGATGATGATGAAAATTTATCGCATATGTCATGCCAACAAAGACTACTTTTAAAAAGTAAGCACGATGCTTCGATGGGGTTCTTTAATTTTAGAATTTTATTGAATCATGAAAATGAATGGGGAAAACAAATATATTGTATAACTTCTGTGTGGCGGATCTAGAGGGAGTAGATAGGGTGGGTGGCTAGCCACCCACTTCGGTTACCGTGAAAAAAAAATATGGTCACTCGTCGTGTACTGTATACCTTCTCGTGAATACATATTACGTGTAGTAGGCTACTCTGGTAAGCGACGTTCTATTTTAAGCTTACTTCTTTTCAGATATCATCTAAGAGCGTCTAGCCGTCTACTAATTTTAAAAAATATCTCAAATGGGAGGGAAGGGTTTATTTTAACAATCGTGTTTTGTAGGCCTTCTGTAGGTCAGTATTCTATGTGGAATGCTTTAGAGATTCAATTTATCTCACAATATGAAAATTACCCAGAGCGTTAACTAAAATGTCACTTTCTCATAATTATAACCAATAAATGAGTTTAGATATTCTTATTATTGTTATTCTTAATAATAATTTCAATGTTCCTCATTGACGTAATAACAACTAATGTTAAAATTAGAAAAAAAAAAAGACGTAAACAAACTTAAAAACATGAAAATATATGACGGCAGTGTTACTCGAGCTAGGGCTGCAATGGTAAGATTTTATCCATTGCACCATAGAACCCGATCCTGTGAAGGTCTGTAGATATCCAGTCTATACATTTCATAAATTAATGCATTTCTCGGTAATTTTGAGTTTAACCATGGACCTATAGGTCCATGGTTTAACCTAGCAGAAGCCGGTTTGAAACGCTTTAGAAAACGCAAATTATGTTAATACCTAGGCCTAAACTTTTATTTATTCGTTTATTACATACAAATATATGTATGAGTCGATATATGCACATCTTTGATATATGGTCTTTGCTAAGATCCAAGCACAGAAATGAACAAAGTGTCGGACAGAAAAACGCTTTGCCAAAACGTATGGAAACGGCCTTGAAAAAATCAGAACAAAAACAATGGCTTTTTCGCTGGTGCGGGAAAAGTCAATAATATAGTAAAACTAATAACACTGTAATAGTAATGATAATATTTATTATTGATGATGATTGTCTTTTTATATGATTGTCTCTTCTGTAATTATGCAATAAATACATCCGGAGCAATTCAGTTTTTATTGTGATTTATGAATATTTTGAAATAAATAAATAAATAAAAAATGATGAAAATGATAATCGATAAGTATAGACTAATATGATATTGCACATGATAAAATAACAATTAAAATGATTATTCATGTCATGGTAAAATCCATAATTATAATAATTATTATTGTTATAATTGTTGTTTTCATCATAATCATTTTGCTATTTGGAATGGCTTGCTGTGTGTAAGGCATATCTAAGCGACGTAGGGCCTACATGTTATTACGCCAACCTACCAGCATTTTTACATCCTGAAATGAAGATATTAAATTTTATAAAGAAACAAAGCACCAGTCATCTTCAGCAGCAGCTGGCGAAGTATAACACAGCAGGCATCGCGAATCTTGTATAGGTAGGCCCTATATCGTTATTGATTACCGTCACAATGTAAACACAGTGTACTAGGGGCCTTTGTAAATTACTGAATAATCAGTTACTTTTCACCACTATTCGCTGACTGGACACGTCACCACCAGTAGCGTAACGACGGGTTGCGGAGCGCGGGTTCGAAACGATGGCCCCGTGAAAGTTTAGTAAAATGTTCGCTAACCTATGAATATTAATATCATGCTAAAAAGACTGCATTAATGCATTGCTCAGTATCGTTAAAGAATATAATTATATTATTTTTTATTATTCTCGGTATTTCTTTATTCAAAAAACAAAAAACAAAAAAACAAAAAAAAAAAACAAAAAACACGTACATTTCATAAAATATAGCAGCTCAGTGATGCATTCACATCATGAGTTGAATTGCATTTCATGATAACATCATAATCCGTCAAACAAAAACAAAACATTAAAGATAACAATCATTAATAAGCTTCACCAAAATACGGTAAAGGACTGCTTGCGTGGCGCACCGTATTACAAACAATGTTACGAAGCTTTTCAGCAGATCGAGTATTATATTTGTGGACAACATTACCTCGAACAGGCAATAATGAAAACAATTTACTTTTTATTTCACACAATTCGGGGTCCCTTTGTCAATTTTTGGGACAAGTGAAATGTGTCCTTTGGTTACTCGAACCAAGGCGGTATTGAATATACCTGCTTGCTCGAACCAAGTAGGTCTCCTAATAGATGTGTATTTAAATTCTACTAACCAGCCTAATTGAACACGAAGGCTGATTCCGGCAGATTCCTAAGATGATAATTAAAATTACAATTACAGCATGATGGATGTGCTTTAAAATTGTATAAGATGCTACGTACCTTATGAACCGTTTTAATAATCATTTATAAACCTTACTCCATCCACTTCCATACGCACACTCAGACTGACATATGTTGATGATCAATAAAGTAGCCGGATACCGAACCTGACTTACCTGTTGCTAGCTGACTGAACAAAGTTCCGGCTATAGCATAAACCTGTACAATGATTTACCAGAGTCACATCAAAGAGGGCGTTTTTACGTTTACTGTATTTGTAAATTGACACGTAATTATTTCTGTGAGGTCAGAAAAAAAATAATGTTGTGTTGCCCTGCATGCGCGACCAACCGAAATTTTCCGAAAAATCGGGTCGGCATTTTTTTAAATTAAAAAAAAAAATGTTTTTGAAATTTTGTTGCAAGTACAGATTCAAGAAATACCACTGCCAAAATTAACATTATTAGAACATAAAATGTAAAAGAGACATGTATTTTTATCAAAATCTCTGGAGAACCGAGCGCGATGACGATAATATGCACGCAACATCGGATCTCTCGCGCTGAGCTGTCAAGCAAGGACCAGATCTAAGCCTAGGCCTAGCATATTCTTTACTACTCTACAGCTAGTAGTTGCTTGAATCAAAAATATTATTCATTACCTTACAGTATATTGGACATTAAATAAAAACAGGCTTAGGTATGCATGAGCATATTGAAATTAGATTAAAAGATAATACATTTTATGCCTTATATAATTATGATGGAAAAGTTAAAGAATTTCCAACACATGTTTCTTTTTCCAATTTTATTAAAAATCCCATAATGAAAGTAGAAGTAAACGCTTAAGTGCTTTGAAGTTGCAAATAAGATTATTTAGTACATAAAACAAAGCAGTAAAATTGGAGTATTTTAAGAATAAGCATTCAAACTTACTCAATCAATAAATAGGCCTATGTATGATCACGGAGGTATTATTGAGAAGGAGATCACTCGGCAAAGCCACGCGCACGCAGCGCTATGCAAATGAACCAAGATCAAAGT